ACGGAACTAATGTCTAGGCGTTCATTCGAGACTTTTGACTGGTGGGTAATCCATTCCACAGTCCGACTGCTGAAACAAAGTTGGAACAGAAGAGGGCAGTGTTAAAACGCGGACTGGTAGCGAAGAAGAGTGGGAACGGATGTGTAGGATCGCACAGAAAACTCCCGGCCACTCTACAAACGGGGAAGGCAAAGGCATTGGCAATGAGCCGACACGCTGAGCTGGTCCGTGCAAGAGCGGCACACGACGCGTCGACACAGCTCACAGACAGTTCCCACGGCTAAGGCACGGCGTAAATGATTTGCTGGGCTCCCATTACTCGTCCTCGCTGGTGATCCTGGCATGCAGAGACTTGGTCAGTTTTCTACAAAAACTTCAGTGTTAATCTCACGACACAGTTACAAGCTAAGTTTCGCTTAACTGTCCCCATAATAAAATAAAATAACCTCGTATCCAGACTCACGAAAGTTGGTCACTAAATCAAGAATTAATTCTGTGCTTGTGGGCAGTGTAAATTATCCTATTTCTTGGGTGACGACTTATTTTGAGGCAGCCTATACAGTAGGTAGCGGTTTAGCAATTGTATATACTGGAGAGGGAATCTCTAGGGCGGGAGGCTGGAGGATACTCAATTACACTGATCCGCCCTGCTATAAGCCTTGCAGCAAAAGACAGCACGACGTCACAACAACAACAAATCAGTGGGGCTTACGCTCATTGACACGGCTTTCCACTCTAGTGTGACCCAACATCTACCTACACTCGGAATTAATCTACCCTCTCCGTGCTACGTACGAGATATCTCGCTTAAAACCAATGAATGACCTTTCCGTATCTGAAGTGTGACAAATTCTGTCAACAATTAAATCGAATTCACAGATTTTTCCCAACATAAATAGAAGGGTTGCCATGGAAATACACTGACGGTGGAAAGTGTCTTGAAATATAAGCACATCAGAAGGCGTTTTGTATTTAGAGGAGCTCATAAAAATATTTGAGCAACAAGTAGCAGAACTTCGGCTACTTATTTGGTGGGCGAACTGTAGAATTCAGAACGAGGAATTTTGAGTTTCTCGTTTATGTAAAACAAACGAAAAAAAACCGGTCTTCCAGAATTTTATAGTTTTGTATTCACTACAGAGTGGCTAACAGAATTATGGACAAATGTTTCCAACAAAGCTTTTACAAAAGTTTTCCCAGATCTTATCGTTAAATTTAGGGGGACCCCCCAAGGCAGCTGAACTGTTAGCTGGTCATGCATGAGTTCAGAAGTTCACGAGAGATGCTAGTAATAACGCCAGCCCCAGTCACAGCAGAACTTTCACAAGCGTTTGTGATAATCCACCGCATAGCTCACTCCTCCACTAACACTTCAGCGGGGGGGAAGACGTCTGTTTCTTGAGTTGTGGTCGTACATTATCCTGGCAGGAAATGCTGGAGAAACCGCACGAGCGCGCTCTTTTTGCTGCCGAAGGTACTTGAGTGGCTCTCATAATAACCGACATTAGTTGCCAGCAGCTGCTAACCCGAACACCTCCCAAATTTGAAACACTCACTTCGCAGAGACATACAAAAACGAGAGGGAAGAAATTTGATGGATTTGCACAACGAAGTAACTGCAAATAGTTTACGTCGGTACTTAGAAGTCAAGACAATGTTTGTAACATGAGTAAAACCTTCACCAAACGAAATGCCTTCGCGTTCGTAAATTCACTTCGCAGAGACACACAAAAACGATACGGAAGAAATTTGATGGATTTGCACAACTTAGTAACTGCAGATAGTTTACGTCGGTACTTAGAAGTGAAGACAATGTTTGTAACATAAGTAAAACCCTCATCAAACGAAATGCCTTCGCGTTCGTAAATTTCGTGTGCAGATTCTGCATCTGGTAATCACTACATCGGAAATTAAATGCACTAAAGACGTGAGGTCAAAGGTCGGCTATATCAAATGTGGTACCTTCCGTTAAGAAAGAATGAAAAGTACAAATTACGAGACAGAAAAATCTGTGGATCTCATATAAAACGTACGATCTGGGAATTATATTTGATGCTAAATGTTATCCCCCCCCCCAAACGAGGACCGTGTGTACTTTCACAAGATCTCAAGCGCCTGGGCTTATTCGTGTTTTTATTTTTTATTTTTCATGTTAAAGTGAACTCCCAATTGAACTCCCATCGCATCCTGAAGATAGCAGACATGATCGAGTCAGTACGCACTGACAGTGTATTCACTTCACTCATGAAGTCTGTCTACGCTACACAAAAACCACCCCCTGCTCACGTGAGTCATGTCGCTGAGAATCGCATCACCACGTGAGCGTCACTTAGGAGAATGTCACGTGCCCTGTTGGGAAACGCGTAATCTCAAAATCACGTGACTACGTAACTTGCAGTGCCCCGTGTCGTGGCGCGTGAACGCAAGCTAAACCAACGCCAAAGGCAACCCAGAACATGGCGTCGGCCCTGATCGGAAGTCCAAAGTGAGTCTGTCACGTGTTTAAACTAGTGAAAGGAATTTATTTATTCATTGAAATGCAATTAGGAATAACACCGCGCAAGTTTATTTCTGTCGGTGGTAATGCAATGTTGTAATATTAACATACTCTGCAGGGGGCGCGGTCACCGGGTGTGAGAAAAAATTATAAACTAAAATATTTCTTCTCTTAGAAATAAAACTCCAAGTATTGACGCTGAAAACCGTTCAGAAACACGTCTACGCTCGTGACGTCAGTAACACGATAAAGAAACGGATCTTCGCCGCCGCCCCCCTCCCCAATACGCGTTACAGGCCCTACTCACCGTCCTGAAGGCCTATATATAAAACACGGAACGATAAAATTTTGAAGCGGATAGGGCGAAGACCCTGTAGTCTGATCACAAGTTACAGTTTCCTGGAATCAGTGTGCGGCTATTTTCCACAAATCAGTTTCATAGACTGCAAACAGGAGCTAATTATAACCTAGTCTGAACGCATTCAAGCCGTCTTTCGAAATAATCCTAATGATGATGAAGTGAATTTTCTATCACCCGGTGGCCGGCCTCCCTTCCTACCCTTAAGACAACCTGGCACGGACACAGGCTTACCCAAAAAGAAAACCTCCCCCTGGCGTGCTGGAAATGTAAACAGCAGCACGAAACAACAACTGCGAATTGGTCGAATCACGAACCAACGGATGCCCGCAAGAGGGGGCTAAGTAGGCAAAAAAAACCACTGTTGACCGTGAAGCGGACGCTCCGAAACTGCAAACCCGCGATCCTGAGCCAGTTCAATTCACTCATCCGCACAATATATTCCCCCGTGTTCAAACTACGTGCCCTTACCACTGATATAAATGAGACTAGACTCCAGGCTGGCGACTTCAGTATCGTGAGATTATCTTCCCAATTGATTTAATTCCACACTTTAGGGAGGAATCTGCTTAACTTAAAACGTGGTAGTTAATACACGTAAGTTTTTGATAAGATGTCTTCGCCGATGACCTCCCTTGCTTAGCTACTTGTC